CCTTAAATGAGGCATCATTTGCTATAACTATGAAAAAAAAAAATCTTACAAAGACAAAATATTACATTCTAGCAAAGGGAGGCCTACTCTTTTTCCAAAAAAAAAAAAAAAAAAGAGAGAGAGAGAGAGAGAGAAATTAACAAGCACTAGTCAAGCATTAAGGGTGTATTAGCAGGAAACAGAAACATTTTCTTCAACTGGAAAAATCACTAGACCTAATGATCTCAGTGCCCTTGCAACCTTGAGCTTCTAGATGCCTGCATCCCTTCTAAGTAACCCCAGTTTCCTCAAGCATTGCTCAAAAGGTTTCAAGACTTCTCAGCCATCATCACTGTGACTCTCCACAGACAAAGACCAGTTTGCTTTAGTCCTGGTTTGAGCGTTACCAATAGAACTGAGCCCTGAGTCTTTCCACTGACACATCCCCACACCAGGTCCAATCTCCTGCAGCCCCTCCTTCCTGGGTGCTCACTGTGCCGGCCCCACCTCCTTTGCTAGGTGGTCAAGGCACAACCTACCCAGCCTACCCCTGATCAGTTGATGCTTTTAGATCAATTGCATGACATATGAGGCAGTTTGGGATCAGTATAAGGTCAAGGTGCAATGGCTCACACCTGTAATCCTAGCACTCTGGGAGGCCGAGGCAGGTGGATTACTTCAACTCAGGACTTGGAGACCAGCCTGAGCAAGAGAGAGACTCTGATCTCTACTAAAAACAAGAAAACTAGCAGGTGTCATTCATGGCAGGCACCTATAGTCCCAGCTACTCAGCTACTGAGGTGGGAGTACTGCTTGAACCCAAGAGTCTGAGGTTGCTGTGAGCTATGATGACACCGTGGCACTCTACCTAGGGTGACAGAGTTAAACTCTGTCTCAAAAAAAAAAAAAAAAAAAATTCAAAATAGTAGTTCAAACCAGACCAGGACTACCTTGAGTGATGTTACTTTTCTACCCAGTACATCCCAGAGCAGACTATGTCAGCAAGGTGATTCCAACTGCCAAAGCTCCCCCAGAGGCCACCAGGAAGCCCCACTCTGAAATCCAAGCTTCCCTAACACAGCATGCAAAGACAGAATAGAACAAGCCAGGAGGGTGTGCCCTGTGGAAGAGACCAGAGTCCTGCAGATACCGTGCTCAGTCTCTCCCTGGAAGGGTCCTGTAACTGCCCGGTGAAGCAGGTAAGATGTCCTCATTTTGCAAAGGATAAAAATGATGCTGAGAGAAAGTAAATAACTTATCTGGGTCACCCAGTCAGCCTGCAGAGCCAGGGTTCCAAGTCAGAGCTAACTGTCACCCAAGTCCAGGGACATTCCTTTATGCGGCCCAGGCCAGGCCACAGAAGGAGACAAGCAAAAGGCCACCAGTTGGTGGTGATCTTGAAGGCTAACTGGTTCTGATTCAATACAGAAGATCAAAAAAAGGACAGAACAGTTTTGATGAGAGGAGTTATTTGTTCTACATTGTAAACACCTGAGATCAATTAATAATTAACAGATAATGCTGGCTGTGGTGGCTCACGCCTGTCATCCCAGCACTCTGGGAGGCCAAGTCAGCTGGATCACCTGAACTCAGGGATTCTAGACCAGCCTGAGGAGGAGCAAAACCCCATCTCTACCAAAAAGAGAAAAATCAGCTGGGCATGGTAGCGGGCACTTGTAGTCCCAGCTGCTTGGGAGGGTGAGGCAAGAGAATCACTTGAGCCCAAGAGTTTGAGGTTGCTGTGAGCTATGACAACACAGCACTCTATCAAGGGAGATAAACTTGAGACTCTATCTCAAAAAAAAAACAAAAAAATTAACAGGGCAGTGCCTGTGGCCCAGTGGATAGGGCACCAGCCCCAATACCAAGGGTGGCAGCTTCAAACCCAGCCCTGGCCAAACTGTAAAAAAAAAAAAATAGCCGAGGATTGTGGTAGACACCTGTAGTCCCAGCTACTCAGGAGGCTGAGGCAAGAGAATCGCCTAAGCCCAGGAGTTGGAGGTTGCTGTAAGCTGTGATGTCATGGCACTCTACCGAGGGCAGTAACAGTGAGATTCTGTCTCTAACAAAAAAAAAAAAATTAACAGATAAGGAGAATAACAAAAAAGGGGGAAATAAATGAAAGGTAAGGCCCTTGGGATATACAGAAGCTACCAAAGAAAAGGGCTACCTAGCAACCCTCAAAGGACAAAGCCAGCCTCTGTCCAGAATGAGCCACAAGAGCAACAGGGACAACGAAGACACCTACTTCTCGGAGTGGCTTTGTGGGACAGCCTCCTTCCTACAGGGGAGGGGGAAAGCTTCGTTCCCTCCACTTTAACAGCAGACTGCCAAGCTCGATAACCACTCACCACCAGGGGATCTGCTACTCCAGGACATTTGTCATTTGCTCACAGGGTTATCAGAAGTTACTGTGATGGATTCAACCAGCTTATCAATAATTAACCCAAATACGGAGCTTATCAAACAGTTTCTAATCCTTTTAGCTTAACACACATGGTCTTCACAAAAAAGAACGTCTCCCAGAAAATGACAAAGGAACTGGCAATAGCATTCTCCACGGTCACAGCTGAGCGTGGAGGTGAGGTGACACATTTGTCAAAGCTGTGAAGAGGGTCCTTGATACCATCACTGCTACAGAGTCCACAGGATTCAAGCCACAAGACAGGCTTTGGAAATGCGCAATGCTCTTGTCTGCTTGCAAAGACTGGATTAGAAATCGTGAAGCTTCAGGAACACCTGAGGGCTTTTTTGAAATCATGCAAAATCACAGCCAACACAATAGAGCCCACAGCGGGAGGAAAACATTTGGAAACTTTATTTATGGCTCTATTATAATTAAGGAAGGGTCTGCAGTGAGATTTCTTGGAGCTTATGAATATTTATTCTGGTACATTCTTGAAAACAACAAAAAAAATTAAGTCCAGTATAAATGGGAAACAGATTTATAAGAGCTGGTCATATGTTTACATTATGCAATTTGTAGTTAAAGACCTATAACAAGAATATCGTTAAATGCCTAAAAGGGAGCGGGGGAGTGGCTGATATTTGGACATTTTCTTAAAATGAGCGAATGATATTTTTAGAGTTTTTGACAATCTGTGTACTGAGGGGTTCCTGTAGGCACATCTTGTTACCTTCACTAACCCAGGAGTGGAGTCACAAGCTCAAGGCAATGGCAAAGGCTGAGGTGGTCACAGCTTCTCTGTTCATGGTAGTCAAAGCTCTGCCGGATGGAGACAGGAGACACCCTGAACCTTGACTGGAAAGCTTTCACACAAATCTCAGCCCCCTCCAGCCCTGAAGCACTGAGGAGGCTTTGCCAACGTGCCAAAAACTCCCAGATAATTAGCTAAGCACACCCGTGTTTCACACGGAACACAGAGAGGCACTCTGGACATGCTGGACACCCTGCCCCAGAGACCTTGGTCTTTGTGACACTGACTGAGCCGGGCATCCTCTGAGTACAAACCCCAGACAGATGTGCAGGTCACAGCAAAAGTCTATCCCTAAGGCAGAGGAAAAGGAGACAGCCCGTTGCAAATGTTGTTGAAGACTCATGACCCCACGTCACTTAAGGAGGGCCAACCAATTAAGGTTTAGCAACATTATTTCTTATTAGGAAATAATAATTTGTTTGTTTCCCTTTGCTTAGAAACAGGGTCTTGCTCTGTCAATCAGACTAGAGTGCAGTGGCATGATCATGGCTCAGTGTAACCTCAAATTCCTGGGCTCAAGTGACTCTCCCACCTCAGCCTCCTGAGTAGCCCAGACTACAGATGTGTACCACCATGCCCAGCTAATTTTATTTTTTAAAAAGATGAGGTCTCTCTACATTGCCCAGGCTGGTCTCCAGCTCCTAGGTTCCTGAGATCCTCCCACCTCAGCCTTCCAAAGTGCTGGGATTACAGGCGTGAGCCACCTCCAAATCCAGTCTATTATCATGTTTTATTATAGTCAGATACTTGCAAAATTCATTATAATAAAGGAAAATTTTTCTAAATAGTATTAAATTTAAATTGAGAGCACCAACAGGTCACAAACAAGTTGTTTCACCTTTGATCGCTGGTGCCCTGGGCTCGGGGGGACCAGTGGGGATACAACCCTTCTCTCAACATCACACTGCCCGCTGCCAAAGGCTCCCATATCACTGCCCCAGATGCAACTGAGCATGGCCGTGCCATTTCTCCAGAGGACACACTTGAGAAGCTGACGTCCTGTCACGAATGGTCTCTCCATAATGCAGAAGAATAAGGAGTTACAGTTTATATATACCTCACCAGAAAGAAAAACCAGTTGTCACTTTGCAAAAAATCCTCTACCATGCCCCAGCTGTGTGATGTCCACTCAGAGACCTCATGTCCTTGTCTGTATGTGAGGGATGGGAATGGTCCCTGGGCTTCTGAGAGCTGCTGCAAGGCTCCAGCAATGAGACCCGACCCAGTGCGTGCAACTCTGTGCATTGCTGTTAATGAGGATGGCAAGTGCCACCCACAAAAGCAGCCCTGAGTACTGCCATTGTGGGTAAGTGTGTCTTCAATACAAAAATCAATTATCTGTGTAAATAAAGAGAAATATTAATGCACTACTGGATCCCTGAAAGCTGAAAATAAACCAGTTCTGCCTCAGTGTTCTTCTAAGTTCAGCCTACGAGTACAACTATCATCTCCTGTGTATTTGAGTCCACCTCTTGCATATGAATCGAGACTCCTGATTTTTTTTTGTTTTTTGAGACAAAGTCTCACTATGTCACCCTTGGTGGAGTGCCGTGGTATCATAGTTCACAGCAACCTCAAACTCTTGGGCTTAAGTGATTCTCTTGCCTCAGCCTCCAAGTAGCTGAGACTACAAGAGCCCGCCACCAGGCCGGCTATTTTTTTGTTGCAGTTATCAGTGTTGTTTTAGCTGGCCTGGGCCAGGTTCAAACATGCCAGCCTCAGTGTATGTGGCCAGCACCCCACCCACTGAGCTACGGGCACTCCCCACCACCCCTATTTTGAACCCCATTCGTAACCACCAACCTGTCTTTGTGTCCTGGGGATTTACCAAAACCAGTATCTTATGCTGAGGTTCATCACGGTACATAGTGCAAAAGCAAACAGATGAAGCTTCAAGTTTTACCTGAAAGATAATAAAAAAGAAAACCATTTTGCTCTTTCATGATAATAAGGGCACAGGAAATTACTTAACAATTAATCGGCCCAATATGCATTATAAGAATACTGCTGCACAGAAGTTAATGTGACAGGGCCCAGGCAACACAGAGATGGAAATCTTACCCATTCTAACACCTACTCTGCTGACCAGATGCCCTAAGGTTCTCCCTTCCTCACACCACCATCACAGCAGCCTCTGCATCCTAGTCTTAAAAACAAAGGACCACATACCACCTCAAGCCCACTGCCAAATGGACCTCAATTGTCCTCCCAGAGCCATGGTGGTCACTCTAAGGACACAGCCCAGGAAGTGTCTGCCTCTACCTGGGAGCAAGCAGTCCCAAGAAATACACATCTTCTCTGGGCCCTACAGGCCCAGCTCCAGCTCCTGTCAGCCTCAAGGCAGAGATGTTCAACTCCAGACGTTAGTTTGTTACATGAGAGTAGAACCAGGGTCTCTAACACTGGGACTGTCCCAGAGCCCTCTCAAGCACCCACATCCAAAAGCACTCTTTGTAGCCATCAAATCCACCATTCCCAGATTCCAAAGCAAAAAGTTCCAATACAAAGGCTGTCTGAAAACCAGGGAGGGTGGCCCAGTGAAGTGCCTCACACCTATAATCTTAGCACTCTGGGAGGCCAATGCAGGTAGATCCCCTGAGCTTAGAAGTTCAAGACCAGCCTGAGGGAGAGTGAGACCCTGTATCTGTTAAAAATAGAAAAACTAGCTGGTCGTTGTGGCAGGCAGCTGTAGTCCCAACTACTCAGGAGGCTGAAGCAAGAGGATCAATTGAGTCCAGGAGTTTAAGGTCGCTATGAGCTAAGATGCCACGGCACTCTACCCAGGGCAATAGAGTGAGACCGTCTCCAAAAAAAAACAAAAAAGAGAGAGAGAAAGAAAAGAAAACCAAGCAGAGTATAAGAAAATTAGAAAAGAATGTGAGGGCTTCATTAGGCAAGCAGGTTGCTTGTAAAACTTTACAGTAGGCCTCCAGGGTTCCAGAGAACAGATTCTTAGCCAATCCCAAGACCCATAAAGGTCTTGGTGTGTCCTGGTCTTCTGTGTCACTTTAATGTAGGGTTCCTGAGCTGGCCTCCCAAAGAGGTTATGTGCAGCAGGGTCCATCCAGGAGCTGCTTATTACAAGGCCATTAAACCCAGGATTTACAAAGCATTGCATTAATACGGAAAGATGCTTGTAGACAACACTGTATTCAGTGAGTGATCTTGCCTACCTTAAAAGTCTATTTAAAAAATGTTTATAGTGATTAAGGGTGGAGGATTTTATTTCCTCTATCCTTGGTTACATTCTCAAATTTTATGCAATGAGCATGTGCCGTTTTGTAACATCAAAAGTCAATAAGTTACACAGCTATGATTTAATAATAAAAAAAATCAGTAAGTTTTATTGTATTTTAAATGTGACAGGAAAATTTCAAGACTGGAAAAAGTTAATAAGAAAAGATCTTTGGGAAGTACCAGAGAGATGTGGCATGATATATCCTCAAGCCACTTCTTTATTTGTTTTGTTTGGAAAAACTTCCCTGGGTTCAAAAAGAAGAGTTTAAACTGCTGAGAGCACAGAGGAGGTCCAAATATCATTCCAAATTAGACTATTTCAGTATGCCCATGGTAGGCCACAGTTCTCATTCTTAATTAACTGCTAGCATGGTAGGAAACCAAACAATTGCTTTCATGAAACATTCCTTTCTCAGAAAGGGAAGAAGCAAACAGGTGTAAAGTCATTCTGGCATTCCTAGCATATTAAAACAACTTAATTTTACTGTCTTATGTTATCATGTTTTTGCTATTAAGACTAAAATTATTTAATCACTGACCAGACTCGACATGATGAGGGTGAGGTTGATAGTATAATCCATAAATACGTGTGAAATAAAAGCAGGTGATTGGAACTGCACGGTAAAGTACTTCACTTTTGCATTCGGGCCCCGCCTCGGATGTCCCAACACCCCCACGCTCCATCCAGTCCAGGCCTTCGCCGCCCCGGGGCTCGCTAAACCTCGGCCTAACAGAGCTGGGTCAACGGCCACTAGGGGGCGCTGAAAGCGTGTGCGGACCGCGGCCTCCCTGTGCGGATAAACTACGTGGACGTCGCTCGTGGGAACTGGATTCTGCGAACTAGCATCGCCAAGATCTCAAGAACGCCACACTATAAACTGGACCAGCCGTTGTTTTCATTAACTCTGGAACTACTTCAGTACAGGGAAATAAAACCCTGTCTTCCTCAACCAACTTTGCAGGGCAGATAGCAACGATTTCCCTTGCAAAACAAGCACTAAAGAAGAAAAGTTTGTCTCTTTCAACAAATCAGCCTCAAAGCGGAAAGAAAGGCGACCGAAGTAGGTACTCCCCAAGAGTCACACGTTCTTTTCACTTAGTGTGTGGAGGAGAAAAAGTTATTAAAACTAACACAGTTTTAAAATGTCACCCACAATCCCACTATCTTAATAAATAATTTTAATATATTTCTCTCCAGACCCCATTCACAAGTAATAGAATCGTATCAGTGCCAGAAAGTATACTCAATATAATTCCATCACAAATCATACAATTTTAAAACTGAATCAAAACAATCCAAAGACCAACCCTTCCAAATGGGAAAACTGAGGCCTGGCCAGGCATTACACACAGCATCCCTTTCATCCCCATAAAGGCACTATGAAATAGATGCTATTGTCTCAATTCTAAGGTAAGAATACCGAAGCCAAAAAGCTTAAGACACTAGCCCAAGGTTACACTGCTGGTTAGGTTAAAGGGGCAGACACAGGAGTCACACAGGACAGGCTCACTGCCCCGCAGAACTGGACTCACACTCAGAACTTCAGAATCCCAATCCAGGATTTTTTCGGATTCTCAAGGTGGGTTTATTCTAGTATTCACTCCTAAAGTTTTGGGTTTTTTTAATCTGGAAAACTTTCAACAACATTCTACTCTCTAGATTAGATTTCACAGAGCTCTGCACCAAGGCAGATCACGCATACCTGCTCCCCAGTGGGAAGAGAGAAAATCTCTGGGGAGGTCCGAGCTCCTTTCCCAAGTGAGGCATAGTAAGCCAGAGCTGCTTCCTGATACCCCTCAGGGTCATCTTCCAAAATATCCACTGGGTAAATGCCTGCAGGGAAGGGGTGGGGGGGAGTTAGAAATGACATTAATTCCACTCTTTCATTAAAGAAAAGTCAACTTATTTCTTAAAGACTAAAAGAAAGTCAAAAACCAATTGAACACTTGCTCTATAAATACGTTCACCTCTTTCCAAAAAATGAAAAAGAAAGAAAGCACAAAGAGGGCACTAGAGAAAAAAGAAGACATTCCCAATGGCGAGCTCAGCACCAACCCCAAGGAGAGGACGTGAGCCCTCTTAGATTGTTGCACAGACTTCCTTCCATACACCCAAACTACCCAGTGATTTCCTGAGTACTTTCAGTAGAGTTAGCACGGTGGCCACATAGACAAGAAGGAAGCTTGAGTGCTGAGAAAAGCTGGTTAGAACTTGACAACTTTGCCAAAATTTCGCTTGAGCTGTTGGTATTTTGTTAGCTCACATTCACCATGTACATTCATAAAACTGTACCACCTTTGCTCATTTCATTGGGGTACTCTAGCAAGAGACAGTAAGTGCACCGTTAGTATGAGTTCTTAACCTACATGTCAACGTGTATATAGACCATTGTGCATGTTAATCTGAAAGTTATTCTCTGACTCTTCCTCAGCATCTCTTTCCTATCATCACATTTTTGGAGAAAAATTATATCCTTGAAAAAATCATACACATTGACAGCATCCAGTTACAGCTTAGAAGTGGCACTTCAGTTTCCCCTTCTCAATGACCAAAGACTCAGGCTGGGCCAGGCACAGTGACTTACACCTGTAATCCTTCCATTCCAGGAGGCAGAGGTGGATGGATCACCAGAACTCAGGAGTTTGAGACCAGCCTGAGCAAGAGTAAGACCCTCTTCTCTACTAAAATCAGAAAAATTAGCCAGGCACTGTGGCAGTAGCCCCAGCTACTGGGCAGGCTGAGGCAAGAGGATGGCTTGAGCCCAGTTGAGTTTGAGATTGCTGTGAGCTAGGATGAGGCCACAGCACTCTAGCCTGGGCAACAGAGCGAGACTGCCTAAAAAAGAAAAAAATGCACTGATATAAACATTTCAAATAAAGACATGAAGAATTGGTGGGCCATTTAGTGTGGTCAGTCAAATATGAACTTTGGGATGTGTCTCAGAGAAATTATGCACCCCTATAACCAAGATATTATGCTCCAGAAGTCACACATCGGGGGAAAGGTGATTATGTGTCCTCTCCACACATACACACTCACCACAATGAGCCAAGACATCCCTGGCAAACTGATCAGCTCCCTAGCCCCTAGCCTGAACCTATAGGCCCTCCCTACTTCTCACTGGGCCCCTCCAAGTGCACGGCTCATGGGCCCAATGGCTCCAAGGCAGCATCTTTGTCCTTCATTCAGGGACCACATCACATCTGCCCCCAAGACCAAATGCAGCCTGTACCACCTCTCTGCCACCGTGGCAAGCATTCATCCCTAACATAGCTCAGGGCCTCAAAATCCCGTAATAGCCTTTGCCCTGCCTTCTCCAGCCACAACAACAGCCACAGCTGATGTTCTATTGGCTCCAGATGCCAACAGGATGCTGAGAACCGCACACCCCTTATCTCACTGAGTCCAGCGTAAGTTTCATTTACAGATGAGGAAACTGAGGCTTCAAAAAGTTGTTTAGCGCAATGGCTCACACCTGCAATCCTAACACTCGGGGAAGCCCAGGTGGGTGGATTGCTTCAGCTCACAAGTTCCAGACCAGCCTATCTCTACTAAAAATAGAAAAACTCAGACAAGAGGATCACTTGAGCCTGAGCTGGAGATTGCTGTGAGCTATGATGCCACGCCACGGTACTCTACCCAGGGCTTAAGACTGTCTCAAAAAAAAAAAAAAGTTGCTTGGCTAGTAGGTGGCAGCAGCACAGTATGAAGCCAGGTCAGACTGATTTCAAAATCTATTGTAAAACATTCAGATTATGTGAGTGCCCCAATCAAAACTGTCCCCTCTAGGCTCAGCACCTGTAGCTCAGCCCCTAGGTCGCCAGCCACATACACCAGAGCTGGGGGTTCAAACGTGGCCCAGGCCTACCAAACAACGACAACTACCACCAAACAATAGCCAAGTGTTGTGGCGGGCACCTGCAGTCCCAGCTACTTGGAGGCTGAGGCAAGAGAATCACTTAAGCCCAAGAGTTTGAGGTTGCTGTGAGCTGTGATGTCATAACACTCTGAGGGCAACATAATGAGACTTTGTCTCAAAAAAAAAAAAAAAAAATCCCCTCTACCAAGCTCTGAAGGCCTGATGTAATTACAGGTCCCCTCCCCTGCAGCACCCTGTGTCCTCCCACACTCCCTGCTCCCAGCTCCTTCTGCCTCTCCTGCCCCAGGGCCCACCTCAAAGGCAGCCAGCACTCCCAGGACCCTTCCTTAAGCCCCACAAGGCAACAGCAAGGACTCTCAAGCCATTGAGTCTTGTTCAAATCCCAACTTGGCCTAGGACGGGGATTAGTATGTGCTTGCCGCCACCTCTGTCCTACACAGCCCCAGTAACTCACACCTCATCTCTGTCTTCCAGAGCAGTCACCCACCCACCCACTCTATGTGTGCAAACACAGCTTCCCCCACTCCCCAGACCACCCCAAAGACCCTCTCCTGCGCTTTCCGCACGCTAAATACTTAGTAAATTTGTGTTGTTCAACTGGGCCCTGTGTTGAAACTATTCTTTTTATCTAGTTGGGCAAGTGGCTTCCCACAGGTATGAAAAAAGATTTGGTGAACATTCAAATAAATTAAGAAAAACAAACTGGAGAGAGGCTGCTGCCTCCCTGGGGCCCCACTCCCACCCCTCCCACAGAAACCAACTCCAGTGGCCACTTTCCTCAGAAGCCCTGGCAAGTGGAGATCCAACCACAATTTTCACTACTCCTTGCTGCTGGCCCTGTGTTTTGGGAAAGACTGTCAGATTTAGACCACTGGTCCATTCTAGTAAGGTTGCAGGGGGCACAGAAGCACATTATCCACCAACCCCTAAGAAGTGACCCTGGCCCCTGTGAGCTCCCCTGCTGTGGGGGAGCGTAGAAGGACACCATGGTCACTCAGGTTTGCAGGGCGGGAACATCTCACTCAAGTCCACCCAGCCAGAGGCCCAGCTGCCCTGGAGGCCCAGGGAGGCTCCCGCCTGGTTCCTGTAGGCTGCCAAGGGTTGCCTGGCATCATGCAATGAATGTGTTTTGCTCCTTCCACACCATGAAATCATCTCCCCTACATGTTACGCGGCTGTGGCCATCAGACCTCCTCAAAGAACTCAGCAGACTGTGTCCCAGGACACCCACTGCCCCAGGGCACTAGTGCCTGGACACCCAAGGGGCCAGAGGAACAGGTCCCTAGGATCTCCTCAGCCCCTAAGCCACCAGAATCAGCAGACTCAGCCCAACCCAACGCTCCTGAGAGTAGGGGCTGTGTTGTGTGAACCAGGGTCCTGGAGCCATAATAATTAACCCTCCTGGACTGCAGCATACCTGAGAAGATCTTAATGCGCACAAAATAATGTGGCATCCATGCTTCAATCCTAAAGTATCTGAAGCAGACAGACTCCTGTGCCCCAGGAAGCAGGGTCGCCACGTAAGCACTGGGGCAGCCCCACAGGACCATAAATTTATCAGGGGCCTTGATTTCTGGTGAGTGGTGTGCATCACTGCAACTCCCCAGCGTTTGGGGTTGAAATTAGTTCTTTCTCTTGCCTCTGAGGGACATTTCCTGATTGGAAAAGCTGGGCAGCTTCCCTCTTACACAGACAATGTTTGGGTTAGCTTTCTGGAAAATGGGGGCAAGGGGCACAAAAATAGGAGGGAGCAGCCCATGCCCACCAGGAAGGAAGATCCCTCTCCCCATCCAGGAGGAAGCATAGCCCACTCCCAACCCAAGAAGAAGTAAGACCCCTCCCCAATCCAAGGAAGGAAGACCTCCAGGAAGACAAACTCCCTGCCCAAACCAGGAGAAATGAAGGCACCCCTCCTCCAATCCAAAGAGGAAGAAATCCCTGTCAGGACCCAGAAGGAAGACCCCCCCCATCCCCAACCCAGGGAGAGTAAATGCACACACACACTGCTCCGGGAGGAAAGAAGCCCCTTCTTCTGCCCAGAGCCTCCTACCCCAGCCAGGCGGCCACGCTCGCTCCCACTCCGCTGCTGATGGGAGACAGGCTAGAGCACGGGCTTCCAGATGTGACATGCTAACAGGCTTTAATGGCTTGAACTGAACAGGAAATATTTTTCCAAAGCCAAAAGAATGTAATCTTTTCAGTACAATGTAAAATGCTTTTATGAAAGAGGCACGAGGGTTGAAACAATAATTCACTGCAGACTGTAAAGAAATTGGAATTCCCCCAGCAAACCCCAAATTTAAGAATTCACTTCAAGCCTACATTGGTGTAGCCACCTTAAAAACAAAAATAAAGGTGCATCTTAAAACATCCTCCTAGGGAAAATACTTAAATTGTACAGGATCTTTGTTTTAAAGGCCGCATCAAATAGGTGACTCACTCCCCCCAAGCCACTCACTGCCTGTCCCAGCAGTCACCACCACTCACGGCATCCTAGCGTTCAAGGCTTTTCCCAGCACTTTTCAGTCCTTCCTATGTAAACAATAAAGCCAATGAATGAAGACCTTGGAAGGATCAATGCTTTGCACTTCATCATTCATTAAGTTTCACTTGTAGACTATTCTTTTCAAAGATTACTTTACCACCAAGATTAGAACTCTTTCATTTTAATAAAGTGTAATTTTTCTCATACGGAACGATTAGTGGGAGAAAACATTAACATAGATATTTTAAATTTTACTAGCCCGGCTCTTAGGAACTTGGACTTTGCTGAAAGCCACTATCTGGCAGTAACTACAGGGCATTATGTCATTGGAAAAACTGGCTGGAATCCCTTGATTTTTTTTAATAATGTGAGTTGTCATTCTTCAATTACAGGGAGAACAATTCTTGCTCAGGGTAATGTGGTAAAAAAAATTAAGGATACAAAACCATGAAGTAGTATTTAATTCTT